AAGAGCATCTTGAGAATGGAAGAGATGAAAACATGACCACAGTGGAAGACATGAACCTTGAACAGTCAACTGAGTCCAAAAACCAGAAAACAGAATCCAAAGATGCCACTACTAAAAGGAATAGCTTTTATGGAGTGGTTAAGCCTATTGAAAGGGAAGATGTTGAAGTAGGCTTGGACCCTTTGTCTTTGCTGGCTACTGATGGCATGCCACCAAGGCATCCAGAACCTGAGGAAAAGTTGGTATCACCAGTTGCAGCACGTAATTTAGCAGATGAAATAGAGAGCTATATGAATCTGAAGAACCCATTGGGTAGCAAGTTTCCCAGCATGGAACTGCACAAGCCAGACAGGGAAGCCGAAGCCTCTGGTACATTTGGTCACTCACAAGAAAGGAGGTCAAGCCTGCCTTTGGATTCCGTCCTGCCACCCCCCAAGTCTTACGAAAACCAGAGAAGTCCTTCTGTCTCTAGATCCAAAACATTCACTGGACGACCAAAGCAACAAACCCATCCACGAGTTCAAAAGGAGCGGTCTTCATCTTTGACAGGACTGGGTCGTTCTTCTCCACATGGCTCGTTAGGATCTGTTGTAACAACTTTATCCAGTCTGAAGTTAGACAACATACTGTCTGGACCAAAAATGGATGTTCTGAAATCAGGCATGAAGCAGGCTGCCAATGTGGCGAGTAAGATGTGGGGAGTTGTAACTTCAGCATATAGTTACTCAGATGATGAGGCAAGTGTTTTTCAATATGAAAAATTTGGGGAGACGAAGTTAGAGGGGTAACTTCTGTGTCCAAAAGATTGCTTTACAAGATGGTGTTTTTTATTAAGTATTCACTTTTATTAGCTCATAAAAATTGTATTTTATGTATGGTGGAGTTTTCCTCTGTCATTAAAAAAACACTTTTCAGACAAAAGCAAATTAAACAGTCTTGATGCAGTAAACTTAAACTTTGACTTTTTGTTCTCAACATTCCCCCCCTATTTATTTATTCATCTATTTATATGTAAAGAAACTGCACCAAGAAACCCTGGTAAGAACAAAATTATGTCATCTTAAATGATGTCATACTGCCTGTCTTATTTTGAAAAACTAAGAAAAGGTTATGAAAACAAATCACCAACCTAAGAAGTCAGGTTGGTGAGGATTAAAGTTGAAAGTCATAAAGGGCAGCCTAAGATCTAGTAAATTCACTCATCAGGAATTTGGAAGCTAAATGTTATGGTTCTTGCGTAAGCACACTTGATTGACAGTCTTTTTCAGAGTAAAACATTTCGGAGTGTAATGACATAAATGAAAAAGGAGATGGAGGGATGAATATTGTAACTTCCTCCTTTCCATATATGTCTTGTTATTGTGCCTCCAAATGTAGTTTTCTGTCTTAGAAAGGCCTCTGCTTGATCCAGTTAATCCCTTGATCTGGTGTTCGGCTTTAAGGCTCTTTCGTCTCCCTTCTTCAAGCTGTTAAGATAGCTTTTTGTTTCCTTTTTCAAATTCTCCCTTCTTTCCCCAACCTCCATAAAAGGTGGGGAAGGGGGAGATAGGTGTTTGGCTTTATTTCTCCGTGAAACAAATTTAACTGATGTTACTAATAGGGTCCTTTCTATTAAACAAACAAAAAAAATTTTTTCTTAATTTTTTTTAACCAGATTTTGCCTGTGACAATGAATACTCACTGGTTTGCTTTTTCCTGAATTTTTTTCCTGTGACCTAGGTTTTCCTGTGTCCCTTTCTGTTATACTGAGCTATTCTGTAGAATTTTGTTTAATGGCACATCATAACCCCCTTAATGTGACTTATTTTAATTTGCTTCAGGATCTTTTGATTCTCTCCCTTTTTTATTTCTGCAGCTTCCCTTTTTTAATATGCTAATTATTATACTTTGTTGCATGCTGTGTCTTAGTGACTAGTGTGTTATTGCTGCATCATTTCAGCCGGTATGTTTCATTCCTGTCTTCGACTCTGAAAATATGACTTTAACTCAGACCTTTTTCTGATAATTCTTCATTTTGTGTAATGTCTGCCAAATCACAATTTCTGCATCATTTTTCCTGTTTCTCCTGTAATGAAGAAGTTTATATCCCTGTTGCTTTGTCACTCAGTTTGCTCCTCAGCTAAGTATTTTCACTGCTAAAGCTTTTCATTTTTCTAATATCCTTCTGGTTTGTCCAATATCTGCTCTTTTTGGGGTTGCGTAGATTTATCTTGCATCTAATAAATTTTTTACATCAGGATTTCATCTTAATCTTCTAGTTTACTTATTTATTTATTAGGATAAAGATGGAAGTCAAATAATGGATCTGGAAGTACTCAAAAATGCTTTTTTTCTTATTCGTCTTTTAAAGGAAGAAAACAATCGACCAGACTTTAACTTCCCTGCTGGCTTTGAAGATAATATTTTAGGAGATAATCTGTCATCAAGAACTGGAGTCCCAGGGCTGATTACGAATGAGCTTGCCCAAAGCACTACTAGTCTTGGCAGTAGCAGTAGCAGTGGAGATGCAGGAAGACAGCATTACAGTGCAGGTGAGATTTGTTTGTTTGTTTGTTTGTTTGTTTCCCTCTCATAACTTGTTTATAATACAACAGCCAGGGAAAACTCTTATGTGTGAAATCATTCATAACAGTGGAAGCTATGGTAATCTGAAATTATTTCAAGTCCTTAAGACAAGTACAAACAAATTTGTACTTCCAATCTATGTTCTTCTCTTGCGTTAGCAAATAGCAAATGCTTCTCTCTTTGAGTGTATAAAAAGTTGATAGAAAATACAGGGATTTAACTGTAAAAATATTTCCTCTGTGTATGTGATAGGATGATTCCTAATTAGTTATAGCCAGGAACACCTGCTCATTCATGTGTAAAGTCATAATACCCTGAAAGTTCTTGAAATATCAATACAGAAAAGCAGAGCGGTGTTCAAGAGCCCCAAATAGTTGCATAACTAACAGAGGCAGATCTTTTGAGGGGGGCAAAAAACCCCACAAACTGAAAACAAACAAACCAACCAACAAAACCAACCCCGCAGCCCCAAGCCCACAAAAAAACAAAGCAACACATACAAAAAAAATGCATCAGCTTTACTGTGGAATAGGACGTATTGGATGCGTAGTTGAATTACAGTTATGAAGGTAATTGATAAATATATGCCTATTGCTAAATTGTCCTTCACCACCACCACCACCACCACCCCAGTTCTAAAACTGGAGGAAGTAAATCTAATCATTTTCATTTCAGATTTGATTCAATTAGATTTGATTCTTATTTTGAGAAGACGATGTGTTGCTGAACCAGCTGGGTCTTTGGTTTCTCTCTCTTTGCAATACTTCAATGATGCAAATATCGTAAAGCCGTCTGCATCAAGAGAAGAACTATCTTGCAGACTGGACATAAGCTGGCCGTGTCTAGCAGAATCTTGATGAGATATCCTCTAGTTCCAGTTAGTTAGGAGGGTTATAAGAACTAATTATAAAGAGTGGCAGCCATCAACAGAATATGTAAAATTTGTTCACAAACATAAACTTTATCTGAAGAAGCAGAGAAGCCTTCTTTATGATGAGGGGACTCTGCTAGTGATTTTTTGAATAGGAAAGTTTGACTGGGCTTGTCAGAGGAATTAATGCTGACAGTTTTGCTTCCTAAAACTGATTCCAACCATTTCCTTCTGGTAAATATATCCCAACTTCTTTTTCCCTTTTCCTGGGCAAAGCTCATAACCCTAAAATACAGCCTTACCGAAAGAAGATTATTTGTTTTACTGCAACGTTAGCCAGGGAAAACTTAAGCACAGTAATGGCATATTTGGTATTATGTGTCTTGCCTGGTACTGTCCTTCTGTTTGCTATTTACATATGGATGTATCATTCAAGAAATCTTTAACAATTTTTTCGAGTATATATATTGAGCAATCTTACGGCTCTTTGCCATTCTTTATTCTTTCTTTGTATTTTCAGATTTTATTCACTAATGCTTTTTTCCTTTTACCAGTCTGTGATACATTGTGTTAAACAAAAATAACTTTGAAATGTTAATCACAAAAATGATATTTATCTATATTGTAATTATAATACCACTGAAGTTAGAGCTACATATATCTTTGGAGATATTCTGGTACAATTTTCTATCTTGGTCAAAGAGAAATTATTTTCTTTGGGAATGGATTAATTTCGCTTTCCTTGAATACAAGACCCAAATTACTCTTTCTGTACAGGTGAAGTTTCATTCCCAAGAAGTATGAAAGTTCTAGATTCTGAGAAGTCAGAGCACAGCTCTTCACATAATACTAGTTTATCCAGCATTTTCCAGAACTATGCAATGGAGGTAAGATTAATAAACTCACAGATGAAAGATCTTATTATTCATTATTACTGTATGCATTAATTACCTGTTTAGTTGGATTGTGGATGGATTTTTCAAAACAATTTTTTTCCATGTTTCTACTGCAAAAATGCTTGATACTTTTAGCCCAGGGTGTGACAGTAGTTTTAAAAAAGAAAAGTATGTTAAATGCTTTTATGTATCTCTCATATATAGAGAGAAGAGACAATTGAGGAAAGGGTCAAAAGTTGAAGTGAGACAGAAATTAGTGAGGAAACAAGATTTTTTTTTTTTTTTCCTTTCAAGCTTTGTTTTTTTCCCCCCCTTTATGAAAATTGTGTTGTTATTAAATAATTGTGGTGGGTTGACCACAGCCAGCAGCTAAGCTCTCACCCAGGCACTTGCTTACTCCCCCCTCATCAGGATGGGGTAACAAATCAGAAGGGCAGAAGCAAGGAAAAAAAGCTTGAAGGTCAAAATGTAGACATTTTAATGAGTGAATTGGGGGGAAAAAAAAAAGCAGGAGGCGGGGACAACAAAAAACAAGTGATAAAAAGGCAATCAGTCAGCACACACACACAGACACACACACAGACACACACACACAGGGTTGGGGACAGAATGAGAAAGAAAAGGCCACGATGGTGTGTAAGGCACTGTTCAGCAATAGCTAAAACATTGGTGTGTTATCAACACGGAGTTGGTCACCAGTCTAAAACATAGCACTATAAAGATTGCTATGAAGAAAATTAACTCTATCGCAGCCAAACCCAGCACAATGATTTAGCATGCCTTTCTGTTTCAGTTACAGATGCCTCTCTGTATCAGTTGTAGATGCTTTCAGACTTCAGATACGTAGGCAATGGTCACTGTGTTTGCCTTGGTTGCTTTTCTTTCAGCTGTAGTGATATTTTGCTAGGTCCCATGTAATTTTCTTTTATGTTTGATCTTCTGGAGATCTAGGTTTGTCAAACTTCTGCACTGCATTATATAAGGGGCATAGGATAGAAAGAAAAATGTTGCCATTGGGCAAATATCTAAAATATATTAGATCCAAAATATATTATATGCTGTGTTTGGTGGTGGGTTTTTGTTTTTTTTTCCTGTGAGAGTGAAACAATGAAGTCAGAGGAAGCCTAAAAAATAAGGATTATAGACCATTCTTCAGTTAGTACAGGATTATTTTTTACCATCTTTTCTCTAGTCTTCAATCTACTTTAGTGATGAGACTTTTATTAGGTAAAAACCAACTTTCTGTTTTTTCCACTTGTATTGGGTTTGTGTGGCAAGGTTTTGGTAGCAGAGAGACTACAGGGGTGCCTTCTGTGAGAAGACACCAGAAGCTTCCCCCGTGTCTGACAGAGCCACTTCCAGCTGGCTTCAAGATGGACCTGCCACTGGCCAAAGCTGAGCCATTCAGCAATGGTGGTAGTGCCTCTGTGATAACGTATTTAAGAGGAGGGGAAAAAACTTGCTGTGCAACAGCGACTGGAGAAGAGGAGTGAGAATATATGAGAGAAACAGCCCTGCAGACACCAAGGTCAGTGAAGAACGAGGGGAGGAGGTGCTCCAGGAGCCGGAGCAGAGATTCCCCTGCAGCCCCTGGTAAAGACCATGGTGAAGCAGATTGTTCCCCTGCAGCCCATGGAGGTCCATAGTGGAGGAGATGGATGCTTCTGAAGGAAGCTGTGACCCCATGAAGAGGAGCCCTTGCTGGAGAAGGTTTGCTGGCAGGACTTTTGACCCTGTGGGGGACCCATGCTGGAGCAGTCTGTTCCTGAAGGACTGCACCCATGGAAAGGACACGTGGAAAGGACACATGCTGGAGCAGTTCATGAAGAACTGCAGCCCGTGGAAAGGACCCACATTCGAGAAGTTCATGGAGGACTGTCTCCTGTGGATGGGACCCCACACTGAAGCAGGGGAAGAGAGTGAGGAGGAAGGAGTTGGCACAGACAATGTGTGATGAACTGACCACAACCCCCATTCCGCGTGCCCCTGTGCCACTTGGGGGGAGGAGGTAGAGAAGTTGAGAGTGAAGTTGAGCCCAGAAAGAAGGCAAGGCTGGGCAGAAGGTGTTTTAAGATCTAGTTTTTATTTCTCATTACCCTACTCTGACTTTTGATTGGCAATAAATTGATTTCCCCTAGCTGAGTCTGTTCTGCCTGTGGCAGTAATTGCTGAGTGATCTACCTGTCCTTATCTTGACCCACAAGCCTTTTGTCATATTTTTCTCCCCCTGTCCAGTTGAGGAGGTGGAGTGATAGAGCGGCTTGGTGGGCACCTGGCATCCAGCAAAGGTCAACCCACCACACCACTATAAAGGTTTCTTTTGTGTTTGGTTGGTTTGGTTTGTTTTTTTTCCCTTTTTTGGAGAAGTAGACATGCATTTACTTATACAATTCAGAACAATTCATATAAGCTGGGGGCTTCATAGGAGCAAGCAATTGCAAATGCTAGGTTAGTAGCATTTCAGGATAGTGCTTCTTCCAGGTCTCAAAATACCTAACAAAAATAAATTATTAGTATTTGCATTTCATAGGTAAAAGTTACGTGGACAAGATAACTCTGAGTATGGTGAGTAAGTAGTGATGAACTCATGCCTCCCAGCTGGCATTCTGATACCTGTTAAACTCCTGTGCCTACAAACTCCTGTTAAACTCCTAAGCCTATAAAGCCAATTATAAAAGAACCCTGAAACAAGACTGATAATACTCATTCTTTGCTGTTCTAGGTATTGATGTCAAGCTGCTCTCAATGTAGAGCTTGTGGTGCTTTGGTTTATGATGAAGAAATTATGGCTGGATGGACAGCAGATGATTCAAACTTGAACACTACCTGTCCTTTCTGTAAAAGTACCTTCCTGCCTTTACTTAACGTTGAATTTAAAGACCTACGTGGCTCTGCAAGGTTAGTGGGTTTTATAGATACTCTCTTTCTGCCTTTGCACTTGTCTGTGGTTATGTTCTTTCACAAAAGGATCCTAGTTATATATCCCAGTATTTTTGTCTAGATTTTCACAAGAATGTCACTGCGTGTTCAACGGTCACGATTGTACTGAAGGAAATTATAAGTCATGTAAACTGTTGAGTTTCATTGTAAAACAGCCAAAAAGCAAAGAACTGGTTGCCTTTTTACCGCTTTTTCTTTTCATATTTTCTTTGTAAGCATAACTGTACAGAAGGTATAAATCTGTTTTCATTTTGTTTAGCTATTAAAACAAAGCTAATGGATCATGAACTTTTTAAAAGCATATGAAACAGTTTTTAAATCTGTCAACAAAGAAATTCTCCCAAATTAAATTTATTAACAGCTTTTAGTTACAGATGCTCCAGCTTATTGTTTCTCCAGTAGTTTGCCAGTTTAAGCTTCTCCGCTTACTATTTTTACCTCTTTTAATTGCATTGTGAAGGCTGGAATTTATTTTAAGGTAATTTAAAATGGATTCTCACTGTAGTGGTTATTGCTGTGAATCAGAGCTTCCATTATTGTTCTCTAATGCTGAAACTGAACATCTGTAGAGTGCGTACTTAAAAATCCTTAGCAAAGCAAGACACGTGCCTGTTATCTTGTGCCTATAATGGTGTATGGTCTTCTAGTCCGTAATGTCACATTACAATAACAACCATTTTCAGTGATGTGTCAGCTATTGATATATTGTCGCTGATTGGGAACCATGACAAACTAAGGTCACTTGTAATCACTTATGTCCAGCATAGGATTTCTTATTTTGCAATCAAATCTCTGTATGTGTTTGTTTACTCTGCCTATATAAGTTACAGTGGAGAGAGTAGGATGAAGTTTGTGTCCTGTTGTCAAAGTTTTTAATGTTGTGTTTCCTTATTTTTGATACTTTTTGAAAGTAAATGTAGCAAATAATGACTTTTTAAATGACTTTATGCTTACATCTTAACCTTTGTATTTCTCTCCCCTCCCATTCATGTTGTAACTTAGCTTTTTCCTGAAGCAAAGTACCTCAGGAGATAGTTTACAGAGTGGTACCCTTCCGTCAACCATGGATCCCCTGGAGCAGAAACTGTTGTCCAGTCCAGCTGTTGCTGACTTGATCAGTTTTTCAGATCACCCACAGTCCAGCCACACCATAGCTGAAGAAACTGGCTCTGCAGCTGAGCAGAGGTAGGTAAAACGGTTGTTCGTTCTGTGAGAAATGTATCAACACTACCAGTATTTCTCCACTACTTCTAAAGTGAAGGTTGGCTTATGTACTAATTAGGGTGGAGAAGTACAACTAATTTGTCTGTTTCCTCTCATTCTTTTTGCATGTTTTAAGCATGCTTTTATCAAATGGAAGTAAGCTGGTTCCACTAAATGAGTGGGTTTTAGAGATACAACTATAGAAATAAATCTTCAGGTCCATCTGCTATTGAGTAATAGGTAAAACTTCTACTCAGTATTGTTGAAACACTCAGCTTTTAAAGACACACAGAAATTTAAGCATTACTTCTCATTTCCTTGTGTTTAGAATTTAACAAGAAGGACACTGCATTATGGGGAAAAATAAGTCCATTTGCTGGAACACTCTTTTTTTTTTTTTTTGAGAGAAAGCTCTCGGGGCACTCAACACTTCTACTGAGCATGCATTCTAGATAATAATACTGATGTAAAACTGAAACTCAGAAAAACAATACCACTTTTGAAACAGTTTGAGGAAACAAGCATGAAGGAGAGGGTATCATTTTGGAAGAGGGAAGAACTGAAATAGCACTGCTAAGAATTGTGATCTTTTTGCTGGGATTTGTTGACATTTTATTGTAATAGGAGGTTTTTTTAATCATTATTCAGTTTGGAATTCTTGAATATCAATGCCTGTGAGCTAATGAGCTAATGCCTGTGTCAGACTATTAAAATTTAAATCAATGTAGTTAGTCTTGATACTCTAAAAATGAAAGGTGGTATTGCTTACGTTAATCTCCTAAATTTGATGTTATATATTTTTAACTAAAGTCAAACTTCAGAGTGAAGGTCACCTCTAAATTAATCTCTTGCCTCTCTTGGCAGATTATTTGGAATCAGGCACTTCCTGTTTCACTTGATGTTTTTTCTTCTATATTGGAGTTGAATTGTTTTTATCCATTGTTTCCGTTGTAAGGGGCACAAAATGAATATTCCCAGATCTGCAAGTGGCTTGATTGCATGCATTAAATTTGACAAGCCTGTAATAGGAGTTTGCTTAAATTATCTTGTTGGATGAGTTTGACACTTACAATTTTATTTTTTCAGTTATATTAGCATGCAACTTATAAATTGTTTTCTATACTATTTTTGCTCTGCTTATGACATTTACAGAAAGTACACGTAAAGGGAAGAGGAAGTAAAAATTAGCATAGTCAGAATAAGATACTCTCTGTGTGTTGAAAAAAAGGTACATTGCTGTTTTTCTAAGCAAGGTAAAGCTGTACCAGAGCAACGGTACCTATACAGAACTGCAATGCTTTCAGATTCATGTCTTTAGGTTAGACCTAGCTGCTTTTCTGAAGGGATGCATATACTGTTCTGAGAGGCATTTTGCTTTGTTTTCCCTAAACTGTGGAGGTAACTGGGCAAATATGATTCGTTATTAATAGAGAAACTTGATTTGGGATACTGACTTGGCAGCCTTTCTGTGCTTCCTTCCTGTTGCCACAGGAATGCTGAATAGTTTCATATTAGCATATTCTCTTCTAAAATCCAAACAGTGATGTGGCAGAAGAACAGAGTACAGATCCCGTAACCATGAAGACATCTACCAATAATCCACCAAAAAGGGGAGTGTCCTTGACTCGGAGCCACAGTGTTGGAGGTCCACTGCAAAACATTGATCTTTCCCAGAGACCATCCCATGGGATTTCAACAGTTAGCCTTCCAAATAGTCTGCAAGAAGTTGTGGTAAGTCTAGAAGGTGCATGTTCAATTAACAGCAAAATATTGAATGCAGTGAACTTAATGAATAATGTTCCACTGCTAGCATTCTTGTCCATTTGGAGAACGGGAATGGCCAACCATATTTTCGTGTTCTTATGACAAAAAAAAAAATCTTGGTTCAGTTAATCTAAACTTGCTCTTTCAGTACATTGTACAAACGGTGCTGCTTGTTTTGAAATGTTCTCTCTAGCAGAATGAAGCTAGTCTTTGTCTTTCTAAAACTGGAAGTTTATTTTAAAAATAATCCAGCTTCTACAGCAGACGAAACACAATGGAGCAAACAACACACTGTTGCAAGAGTGTAAGTTTGTTCCTTTTCCATGCATTTACTCACACTCCTCCTCTATATTCTGTTAGGCTTACCTGTTGAGTAGATGGGAGAAGGTAAGAGGCAGCATTGAGACTATTACATTATTCTTGCATGTGAAACAAAGTGTTTCTCCTCTCTCCTGGTGCTTTTTATTGGCAAGAAACTGTCTTGACATGTGAACATATGATTCAATTCCACAGCTAACGTAATTACTGACATTTTTCTGCAATCTCCATCACCACTGGCTTAGTACCAGCTTAGATAGCTTGAAACTGCACAATCAATAACAAGTTATAACAAATTAGCATTTTCTCTTTTTTACATAATAGAGAGAGCTTAGGTGATTGTTCTTTAAAGTTAAGAAACACTTAAAGTTAATAAACAGTCAAAACTGCTGATGCTGTTAAATTTATTGTCTGTTCAGTACTTCCAGAGGCTTCTTCCAAATATCAAAAGTAACTCTGCAATGGGGGATTTTCAGGGCGAGTAATCCTGAAGAGTATTTCTGGAAGAAAAATCTTTGATTTTGTGGGGAAAAAAAAAAAAAAAGAACCAAAACCAAACAATTTTTCTTTTGTGTGTGTTGTTTTGGTTTTAGGATCCTTTAATAAAAAGACCTAACCCTCTCCCTGTATCTGTACCCTACTTGAGCCCTTTGGTACTGCGTAAGGAGCTTGAATCACTGTTGGAAAACGAGGGAGAACAAGTAATTCATACATCCAAATTCATCAATCAACACCCCATAATTTTCTGGAACCTGGTTTGGTATTTCCGACGGTTGGATCTACCTAGCAACTTACCTGGACTCATTCTAACATCTGAACACTGTAATGATGGAGTGCAGGTAAGTGGCTTCCTCATAGTAGAACTGCAGATACTAGAGTAAGCTAAATTTGAGAGTTTGGTTCAAGAAAAGTGGGTAAGTAATTGTAGTAGCTTGGATCTAGATTCCTGTTTTTATAATACAAGTAGAAAGGTTTGTTTTCCGCAAGGAATCTTGAAGGAAGATGAGTGAAAAAGCATTCAAATTCTAGTCAAGCTGTTCTCTTTTAAAAAGCCAGAGAGTAATGTTCATTAAAGAGAAGGCTGATGTACAGAAGGAAGCAAGACGTGTCCGCGGAGAACGCACAAATTGCAATACACTGTAATCCATTTGGTGTGGGTTACATACCTCAGTATATAAACTTTTTAAGTTATTGGTCAATATTTTTTGTTCTTTTCCACTAATAGTTTTTGCTATTCAGACTAAGTTCATAACTGTATGAATAGAACAACAGAATGTAGAATGGGTGCTATCTTTTGAGTATTTTGCTTTTCCTGTTTTAAGGAGCAGATGTTTTTCTGAAACCTATATGATTTGTGTATGTAAGTAACAAATGCAATAGGTATTTGTATATGATGCACGCAAAAAAGTAGTATTTTCGTATCTACTTGTATGCACTTTAGTTTTAAAATTCTCTCCCTTAATTTTCCCCCCCCAAAAAAAACACCTAGAACCAAGAACAATTTTCCAAGAAATGCAGCTGAAGACCAATACTAATGAAATCTAAAGCATACTGGAAAAATACAATGCATAAGCAGGGAAAACCACAAGATGGGAAATAATATCTTATAATCAGTACTTCAGATTGACACACTAGTGGTAAATTTTTCTTGCCCACTAATTCTTACTGTATTAGTGATTCCAGAACCACTTAATTTTATAAAATAATTATGGAACTATTATTTTGAGTGCCATGTATTTTTAATGGAAATAAATGGTTCATATTTGTATGCAAATGCAGATTCTTTCTGCTTGTTGGGAAGACCAACACATAGACATGCGTACCAAATCTTAATCAGGTCAGAAAATACCAAGGTATGGCATGATAAGTAGTACAAATCAAGTAATGTGTTTGGTGCACAAAAAGTATTTTTGGATACACACTCATAAATATTTTCTTCAGATGTCTGTAGAAACCTGAATGGTCTTCATACATGAGGCTAACCTAGAAAAGGCAATTAAATGTTGCAGTACTTGTGACTGCTCTGGTTGAGTACAGTTTCCTTGAGAAGACATCAGCTGTTCCTGTTTGTTGGATTCAAGATAAACAAAGTAAACATTTATTTGTTTGCAAAATGAGCAAAATAGCATTTTTTTAAATAAGACTGTACTGATGTTTTAAAAACTTTTTCCCTTTCCTCATGTTTTTTAGCTTCCTTTGACATCTCTTGCTCAAGATAGCAAGCTAGTATACATCCATCTTCTGTGGGACAATATCAACCTCCACCAAGAGCCAGGGGAGCCCCTGTATATGTCTTGGAGAAATCTCAGTAAGTGAAATAAATGCTACAGAAAGCAGAGGCTATGGAAAGAAACAGTTGTTTTGTAGCGTCTGAAGTGTACACAGCCCATCAAGTTGGAAAGCTTTTTTAGTGTGTGAAACATCTGCAGTCCCTTAGGTACTTAACCTAGTCTCGGTGTCAAATTATTAGTAAAAATATCTTATTGATCTGTGTGAAGAGGTATGTTATCTGTTCTTTATATGTCATACACTTATAAACAGGGTGGGAGGATTTGCTCTAGATGTGGTGCTAAATAAGCGTCACCTGATGTGAATGTTTCACTGCATTATCTGGTTATATCTATGCAGGCATGAAAAAGAAGATGGTATTATGAAAATGTATCTTGTGTTTCTATAAATGAATGAAAGGTCACAAGTCCCATTAATATGTACATTTGGCAGCCTACTTGACTGTCAAAAAGTAAGATCCAAGAAAGCCTTTGTCTGCCATAACTCCATTTGGAAGGAAGAAAACTAGGCAGACTGGATATAAGAACTTTGGGATTTCATTACTTTTGATCAGCAAAAAACCCTTTGTTGACCTAAACTTCTCAATCTGTGTTTTAGTTTTTAGCATAGTTTTTAAAAGTTATGTGGCATGCTAATTCTGGTTCTAAGGAATTAAAAAGAGTTTGTTAAGAAGCATCCTAAAAATAAACAGACTGATCAGAAAATTACAGTCAACGGCACATAATAACATGTGGTGTTTCCCTCAGCTTCTACAAAAGCATATTGATTTGGGCATAATACATGAATAGCATCCCCAAAGCATTCAGACATGAAGATGCATAAATATATGTATTTATGTAAATAAAGGAGCAAAAGGCCTGTTTTAAATGTGGAAGAAAAGTAGTAATATTGTAGATAGAAGGTATTTGGAAAACAGGAAATTACATTTGTACACTATCATATATGTCAATTTTACAAAAACTTTAGGTTGGTGTGATTATGATTACTAGCCTTGGTCTACGTTTCATTTACACGCCATGTACTTGCTGCCTAATCTGTAGCCTTATTTTTTGGTCAGTAAATGAACTTACTATTCCCTCATGAGTCACTGTTTTCCAAAGAATAGTAGTTCAGTGTTATTCTGGAAGTGGCAATGTAAGCAACAAATCATGATGGTAAATGTCTTGATAATTTTCTTTCCTGTTTGATGCAACTGTGCATTATCTATTTCAATACATAGCCCAAAGTTATCAATGAATTGTAGGTGGCTTTCAAGAAGGGCTTTGCTAAAAAAGGTTTCTTTGATAAGAAATGTGACAGTGTTTTGTTTTATTTCTTTTCCTTTATGTAAAAATAACCTTCTTGGAGTGAACTTAGTTTTTGAAACTTAAGTGCAGCAATAAATCTGAGCTAACAAACCATCACAGGCAGCATCTGATGCTGGATACTCTTCGGTCTCTTGTATTTCTCTGTCATGTGGGAGCTCTTGCACATGGATACTTGATGCATCCTGTCACTTTCATGGTGGCGTAAAGACTATAAGCAGACAAAGCCTTTCCATTGTAACAAATTTCTGTAGATTAAGTAGAGGTTCTGTATATATCTCACTTTCTGAAATACCTTCTGCTTATTAAAGTGAAAAAAAAATCTTTACTGTTTTAATAATCTATACTGTTGCATTTCCCAGATTCTTCTGAAAAGAGACCCTCCACGGTGGCACAAGATCAGCAGGCAACAAACACTTTGTTGGAGAACATCAAACTAAGTATTCAACACAATGACGTTATTAAACCAATCAATCTCCTTCTACAGAAAGTTAAGCCAGATGTGAAACGACAGAGGTAAAGGGGTAATCTCTTCTTACTTTCTCCCCACTGAAAGTTAAACAAGATCAGACTGTGTATACTTCATAATGATAATTCCATAAGGACCTCTCAGGAGTATTCAGTTTCATTTGTGCACTCCAAACACTGTGTATATTTGTTTATGCCCATGTTTACAAACAGATGCATTCTGTAGCCAGATGCATAATTCATCCAAATCAAATAGATAAATATAATTCTTTAATCAAAATGGGGATTTTACAAATGAATAAGAAAAACACAGATACTGACTATACAGATTTTGGTGTTGCTCCAGATCTAGCAATTGATAAATACAAGTGTGCAGCATCCTGTTGCAGTGTCTGGAATATTCTCCAAACTATCTAGTTATACCTATTGAAATTCAACCAACCTGGAGTACTGACGAAGAAAAGTGGATACAGCATGATCCACAAACAAAGGGAGGCATGTAAATAGCACTTGTACGGTACATTTTGCTATCTGCACTACAATTCAGAGAGGGCTTCGTACAAAAGCACAGCCTCTGAAGTAAATTACAGCAGATACAAGATGTGTTTGAAGTCTATCATATTAAGTCATCTTTGCTTCTGTGGTTTGTAGTTACTAAAAAGAAACAAGAACTAATCTGCCTCGAGAAGAATCTTTGAGTTCCACAAGGAAAAAAACTAGTACGTAATTGTTTAGTGATGTCCAGTTCTGAGATAGATTGTGACATTCTGAAACAAAAAACAAAGTATGGTTGATCTGAAATAAGCCCACTCCCTGTACTTCACCCTCAGGCAGGAATGAGTTGTTAAATAAGTGGTGCTTAATTTTATATTTCTTGTTTTTCTGGAGTTTTTATAGCACGTTTGGCAGAGGGATTTTTCATAGAAAATGTAACTGCTGGCATTTGGCAATAATATAACTTCATGCATTAAGGAAAAATATTCAGGCATGAGAAAACCTTAAGCTAGTAATCATGTAGCTTGGTCACTTTCTTCACAAGCAGGATTTAACAGAACAGTTTCAGAAACTACATAGTGGAAGATTAGTGTCTTCAACATTGACATTTTAAACTTAGGATAGTTGGTGCTGTGATTGACTTGCCCTTCAAAATATTCCCTAGGAGTTTTTACAGAGAAATTCTTTTCCTGTCTCTGGTGTCTCTTGGGAGAGAGAACATTGACATTGGTAAGTAAAAAATTCTGTGAAATGCATAGTGCCTGTGTATGAAATACATGAATACTTCATATGAAAACTAGTGTATAAAATCAGCTTTTCATCCATGAGTTTCTAAGGAACTTTTCAATTGCTGTATTTTAGTGAAAAGTGCTGTACTGTCACTCTTCAAGTAGGTGTTGCTTTTATGAAAATGTAATTCAGATGGGGCTATTAATTTTGACTTTGTTTGAAGCCAGTAATCAGTTATTTTAAACAAAGTTTATTAGCTTGAAGTTTAATTCCTCATGTCTGAAAACTTGCTCCCAGTCTTGTCCATCTTTCTCTGACCCACATATTAGACCTATGTCATCTAGCCACCTGACTGCCCACCCCTTCCTGGTCTCCTCTACCCTGGCTTCTAGTTGGTACTATGCAAGCAAAGGAACTCCCTTATGGGATGTGACAGGGGAATTACCCTGGGAACAGGCAAACTGAACTGTGATAGAAGTAATGTGCATCTACTGTGATGCATTGTGATGTTCCAGCATGAAGATGCTTTTCAGGTTCTCTGAGAGGATGCATTTTGAAAAAAAAAAATCAGTGGTTAGTTAAGATAATTATTTTGTCGTTATATAAAAATCACCAAAAGTATTTTATAGAAACAGTAGTGTGTTTGTTAGATAACTTCAACTATGCTTTTTCTATTTCAGAGGTCTTTGATCATGAATACAGAATTGCACATAAAAGTCTACCAAAGGATGTTCTTGAAAAGATGCAGAAAATAGATGCGCCACCAAGCAGCAGGGTTGAGTGTTGTAGGAAGTGCTTTGGAGCACCTTTAATATAAAAATGAGGAAGACACACGCTAAACTTCAGTGAGACAAGAGTAAAGGCAAACAAACCAGGAGCATGGTGAAATATACACTTTGAATCCCAAAAGGTGATAATTGAGCAATTTGTCAAAGCAATTTCATTGAGCTACAATATATATTCTTGTCTTTCATCTCATGAGACAGTGTAAAGTACGTTAAAATGTTTTAAAACTATATTAATAGAGTGAGTTGGTTTCAGTGATTGATCTGCTTTTTTTTCCTGTATATGCTTCTCTTTTTCCTTCCTCAAATCTTTCCCCTACAATATCAAGTTGTTCAAAAAGGTGATGATCAAACAGCAGCCTATAGTTGGTGACTTTAAGGGCCACGAATATTTGTTTATTTTAATGAAATAACTTTCCTGCCACAGAATACTTAGATTCTTCACTACTTCTTTAAAATGACCTTTAACTAAAGAGGGATCTTTTTATTGGTGTGCAGTATGTATGTGTGAATGTAAATATTTGAGTCCTTGGATTGGAAGTTGCAATGCATTTACTTTTGTCAGATCACAGTACCTGAAATTGCTACCCTTCTCGTGACCCTTGTCCCAATCACTATTCTAAATTATCTTTGGCTGACCTTTTCATAAGGTATGTCTATAGTTGTAAAAACCAGAAACTTACACTGAGTCTTCCTGTATTCTCTATCTGACAAATTAAAGATCCTATGAACGTACTGCCGCTTTCTCCAGAAGAATGATAGGCTTCTACACTAAGCAGCTCAGAAATGGATGGCTTTCTAAAAATTAGATAGGAAGCTTAAATGGCATTAGGATACATGCAAGGTTTGTCAAACAGATACTGTCTGGAAAAATTATGCTTTATACTGTATGCATGTATGCTTGAATTCTTTATCACCCTCTTATGGTTTCACGCTAGCCTGTGGGTTAATTATTTTGCACTGATAGTCCAAATTCAATATTTCAATTAAAATGTATTTATAAATGTGGTCTTCAAGGTGTATGTTAGCACAAATGAAGTGCTTGAGTGTATGATCTGAAAAGATGAATCCATCTTCTGGATTGCTTCTAGTAGATAAGACACTTCCTCACGTCACATATCTAATTGACTACAGTAGTCATAGTCTTGGCAAGAAGAGCCTGGATACTGGACAACAGTTTAAATGTTTCTGTTACTTGAGGAATATGATAAGATTTATTCCAGGTTTTTTACTGAAATTTAATGGTGTGGCTTTTCTGATGGAATTATTCCTAGAAAAAAAAAAAAAAAAGTAAGATTTGTAGCATGTTAAAGGAGCATAGCTAAACTATAACCACATCCGAGTATGAATGTATTTAATTCATACTACTCTCTTTCTTAAAAATTTTCATTCTTGAAAATGATGAGGGATGAAGATCTGTCTGGAACAGCTTCTACATGAAACAACAAAACCAGCTTTTGTTTTTTCATGAGGCTAAAACAAAGGATTTGCACTATTTGTGACAAAATACATTTGCGTCATGGACTGATTCCTTGTATTTTGTCCAAAAGTGTTGATCTTAAGTTAATATGGGGATATTGCATGGACAGATTCTCTCCTGATGAAAATGTTGTGCTTTCTCAACAATTAAGAGCAAGAAAGCACACACGGACTTTTCTTTTTTTTTAATTATTCTTTATTTTTGGGGTTTATGCATGGTTGCTTGCAGATATCTGTCCTACATTACAATGGAAGAGTAGAGCTTGATTCTTTGTATTTTCCTCTTCTTCTATTACATAATTGACATGCACTGTTCCATCCTTTTAAAGTAAAAGTCTCTCTGAAGCATTCATCCAAACAGCTTAATACGTCTACAAATCAAAATGGCAAATTTTCCTGTATAATTCTATACTGATCTTAAACATACAGCTATATGAAGACAATTTTTGAGTGTTAAATGGACAAACCATATGATTATGTGACGCAACTTGCAAGGAATCAAGTTTTAGTTATCCTTAAATTCTCCCAGCTCATCACAAGGAAAATCTGTCCAGTGAGTGCTGTTTTAGATAATTGGTGACAACTAAATTGTTTTAAACCATTGTAAATAATGTTATTGTAAACTAAATTCTGTAAGCAGATCACCTTCATTTCAAAACAACCTTCCCATCTGTTGCTGAAGATATAGATTAATCAGGCAGTAGTGTTGTAGAAACAGCAAAGCAGATTGTGTCGCAGCATCTAGTGTTAAATGTTAACTTTCCCCAGATATATACACTAAAGAAAAAAAACTCTAAAGCCTGAGGGGAAAAGGTCAGCTGCAGGATTGAACTTGCTTTGATTTGCTCCTGCGTATTGGCATTTCTGTACACTACAAATTAACTTCTATTTCTGTTGTATGTACCTGGATTTCAGAGTGGTGGAAGTCCTGCATGTAATTACCTGAAATCTTGAATCTGCCTATTGAAATGAATTCTTTAATACAGAATGACAAATGTAAGCACTTACTTTTTTTAATTTGGATTTTTTAATGCCTAGTTTTTAATAGCTTACTAATCAGCTGTTTTTTGAACAAAATCCATAGTTCAAATGAAAAGGGAGATCTCTGAAAGCTATTATGTTTTCATTTATGGAGATGCTTTTTTGGGGAAAAAAAGTTCACAAAAATTTGAAAGGAGTTAGGAACTGAGTGGGTTTTTTTCCTCATTGCTTTCTCTCCTTTCAAATGCATGATGGCACTTCTGTTCTTCCTTCAACTTTTAGGTCTCCTCCTACAAACAAGTAGAGACTGCAGGTTTTCCTATGCAAACTTTCTGAGATGTAGGCTTCCCTAATTTGAATGCTGAAAGAACTGTGAGTGTGCATAAGAAAAGGGTATGGCATAAAATAGCTTAGCATGGCTCAATACTTGTATGGTTGAAAAACTGGCCAAAAATAAACAGGGAAGTCTTCAAAAGTTTTTTTGTGAGTGCATTGCAAACGCTTTTGTCTTTCTGAAAATTGGGCACTAAAGGCATAATAAGTTCTTCTCTGCAACCTAGTAACAGCATGAACTTCTTGGGCTACATAGGAATGACTTAGTTACCTACAAATGCTTCTAATTTGTTTGACACCCCACTCCTAGTAATCCAAATTCATCTGCATCCATAATGCATGAATGAGCTGGACAAAGTGTTGTGAAGGAGGGGTGTGGATAAGCTTGATCTTGGTCCTGTTTTCCTCTCAGTGTAAGCAGAAAAAGTAGCATTTTGCTCACTTGGAAAACTCTTGCCTTCAAATACTCTTTCTAGTAGCTCAACAGCCAGTGTTCAGGAGGAGGTGGCTCTTCTGTGTGTATTTTGGAATTCTTACATATAAATGTTAAGAAAGTGGTTGCAGATCAGTATTCAGTTCAAAACCTGCAATGTGTGCACAAAGTGAGGGTGTAAACCAAACTGATTACATATGTGGATGCAAACTGTTAATGAATTCCAGGTAAGCCCAAGAACTTAGAAAGTTTGTGTTGGTATAACAATTACCACAGAGAAGCTTCCTTGAATTGTTGTCCTAAGGATGTTGAACTGCAGTCAGTTATGCTGAGAAGATACTATCTTGCCCCTTTCACCCATCTATAAAACAGTTATATATAGCTTGTGTGCTCATATCAAAATAGCTATTTTTTTTGTAGAATTAAAACAACAAATCGGATCTTAAAGGTTTAAAATCAGGATTTTTAAGTGACAAAGTTTTTCTTTATGAATTATAAATATATTCTGGCACATTACCAAGACATAACAACTTTCAAAACCCCGTAGGTATAGGAGACTGATGTGGCTGCAGTATTGGTGCAGTAATAGGTACCAGCTTTTACATGTTACTAGAAGCATCTGTATGTTACTTATAGTCATATCTTCTCTTCACTTTTTATACAACTCAAGTTTAGACAATACAATTTTAATGGAAAATATTTTATTAAGTATATGTGTTTCAAATTAAATTCATTTGTTTTGCAAGTAACTTAGCCTTGTTCCTAGTGGAATTTCACATTGGTTAAGCTGAAGCTACGTTGCACTTGTGAATGAGTAATTTTATTCCATTTTAACTGTGAATTAATGGCTTTTTGTGTTCCTACAGCTAGAAGAATATACCTTTCATTGAGTTTACTGCTTTCCTTGAATAACTGCAACATAGGGGATATTTTCAAAATGTATATTAAATTAGATCATAGAAATTATATTTTTAAAACAAACTGTTAAAATGTAAGTTAACTGAAGAATCCACTCAGTAGCTTTCTCTTTTTAAAACTTTTAATTCAACAATTATTTCAATGCAGATAACTTTATTTCATTAAATGGTAAGCAGGTTATATTCACGTAACTGTACATTTTCAACAAAGGTTTTTTTTCTTTTAACTAATAAAAACCTTAAGGTGCCTTCTGTATATCAGCTTTTCATTATGGACCTTTTTAAAAAGCAGGCAAACACCCTTGTAACTTTTAAGTCTTGAAACTGAATGGTTGAATTGGAATCTAATTCTGTATTCTACTGTGCTGTATATTGTGATGCATACAAGGAAAGAAGCGGATGGGGTTTTTATTTGTTCTTTCAGTCTGCATCAATCAATGGTGCAAATAAAAGGGATTGTTTTGCTGTTTTTAGAAGCACATTAAACTCCTTTTAGGAGCTTAAAATAAACTGTATTGTACTGAGGATGAAAGGATGTAGTGTGAATAAATTATGAATTTATTAAGTGAGCTGGGAAGTTTTCTTTAATGCAATAAAATTTGCACTGGTTTAGAGACTGTTTTGAACTGTTGAAAAATGGCATCCATTTACTGTGCTTTGATTAACAAGTGTTTCTCTGTAATGTTTTTGTACATTTGACAAATGTTTCTTGAGTTTAAAAGGGCACTCTGCATATTCTGAATTCTGTATAGATATCCTAGACTAAGAAACAATTTTTAATGTATTTCCCAAAATAAAATATGTATGCATCCTGTGTAAAAATTTCAGTTGTTCAGCTTTTCTGCCATTGGAACTTACCTGCTTGACAGAATTTAATTTTAAATGCAAATTCAGCCTATAGTTGGGCAAAAGCAGAGACTTTCAATTGCCTTTTTTGGGAATTGTTTCATAGTACCTCAGTGATTTCTGAATGGTAGGAAAGAGCAGGAGCAGGAAGAGAAAAGATGGGATGCATGTGTGGAGATCTGGT